GGCTTTAAGGTCCCTTCCACCCAAACCAGTCCATGATCCAATCCTCCCACTGACCCCCGGCTTCAGCTGATCCAACACTTACAGGTGGATTTTATGGAAAAGCTTAGCAATCCCATGATGAGTCCAGTCTTTTCCCAGATGCGGCAAAATATGCCCAAGAGCATCCGACCTAGAAGGAAAGGAGACCACGTTAGGCTGATCCAACCCGGTGGGTACCCATCCCCACCACAAGGGGTCTGCGGTCCCTCCAGGCTGCACGCACAAGCCTTGCAAGGACACTTTCCCTAACTAACGTGCAGGGATGTGTGGTGAGAGAAAGGCCCTTTACTTGGTTATGGTGCCGTCGATGTCCGAGATGACCACCTTGTCGTCCCAGTTCCACAGGTAGATGGTGGCCTCGCAGCGGCACGTGCCCTGGTACTGGGTCGTCACACTGAATGCCACCTCATTGGGGCCATCCTGCAGATTCAGCCTTCCCTGGGGAACAAAAGCAGTACATCAGCACAGGTCCACACCAGCCCAAGGCTTGCCATGGGCCAAGACTGCCACCCAGACAGACCAGAGACCCTAAACCACCCTGAGCAAAACACATGGGCGCCCTATAAAAACATGTGTCAGGAGTAGGGAAATCCCTGTCTGAGGGTTGTCTCACACACAGGCAGGGAAGGAGGAGTGCAGTACATACTATTTGCTCAGAGGAGAGCCGCAGGGATTTCTTGTAGGTTGCCAGAGGTTTCTGTTCAGGAGCATCAATTGCTAACACGTCCCCAGGGTGCAGGGGCTCTTCATCACTGGATGACTCCTCTTCCTGCCTATACGGAGAAGGGAATAGCATGTTGGCTTTACTCTGCAGACCACAGCTTTCCCTGTGAGCACCAGGAGAAATCCAGAGAGGACCCAGGACAACCCACCCAGGAAGCAGCCATGGAGGAGCTTGGCTGGACCGGGGTCAGCCAGAGTCTTAACAGAGCTTTCTGCCCTCATGCATGCCATAGACTTGGGAATATCTGGTCATTTACGAGGAGATCAGGAGCATGCAGACTCCTAAAGGCAGCTTGGGGTGGAGGCACTCACCTCTGCTGAGCGGAGTCAGGCTGCAGCATCCCCACATTGGCTTTCCCTGGTTTCGACTGCTGCTGCGGGCAGAGAGTGGTGTCATGAGCACCCCAGTGCCAAGGGCAGGAGCTGCTCTGCTTTACTACCACTTGGAGCAGCGATAGCAGGCAAGAGATGACAATGCATCCCCTTGCCTTCACAAGGACACTGCTCCATGGAAGAAGAGCCACAACCTGGTGCTGAGGCTGGCCAGGGAGACCAGCATGAATGTCTGGCGCCTGGGCTGTGGCACGAGGGGCACATGGCACCATCACAAGGTCCATTTTACCACATTACCAGGTGTTGTCCTGCTGCTCAGGCATTGACAGACCAGAGGGGACAGCAGCAACCTCCACAGGTCACCTTTCCAACAGGTCTGGCTGTCCTTGTACCCAGCCTCAGGCCATGCCCAGGACCCTGCTGCCCTCCTGCCCCCACCCCTGCCAGCCACCAGAGTGATGCCTGTCCCCTGGGGACTCACCTCCTCCAGTGGGAATTCTCTCCTCCTCCAGGAGAACCACCACCTGCTGCCTTTCTTGGGCATCTTCTCCTTCACCAGCCGGTCAATGGTGCTCTGTGAACATGGGATGAAGTCAGCCCTCAGCCCAGGGAGGCTCAGCTGCCAGCAGGCTAAGACCATTCTTGTCCAGGCAGGGTACCATGGTATCTAAAATCCACCTTGAGGTCCCTCTGAAGGACAGACCTCAGGGTTTGTGGGCTGGAGGGGTGCTCAGCTCTGCCCACAAAGCCCCAGATGGGCAGCTTGGCTTCTTGCAGCCCTCCAGCAACTCTTCAAGCCCTGCTGAGAAGCATGGCCAGTAAATGGGTTGTGCCACTGACCTCAGGAATGTTCCTCTGGAAAGCCTGCAGGGACAGGACCATGGGAGCAGCCACTGCCCAGACCAGTTGTAATACCTGGAAGAAGCGAGAGAGATACAGACATCACCACTCCTGGAGCAAGGGCTGTTTCCAGATCACCATCCTGCAGTGTGGCCAGAGGCTCCCTTCCCACAACTACTGCACTATAACCGTTGTCTGGGTTGGAGACATGCTCCTACTGGACTGTTTCTGTAGGGACAAAGGGAAGCAGCAGGAAGAGCAGGGCACTCACTTCTTGTTGAGCAGTATCACCAGGTTCGGGTCATCGATGAGTCCTGGATTCTCAGCAAACTGCTGGTAGGAGACAACGTGCTCCATGAACTTCTCTGATGGGACAAAGGCTGTGTCATGCCACTGGTGGATAACACGGGGACAGCAGATTTCCCCCTCTCCTCCCACCTACCGTGAGAGATGTGC